GTGTGTGTGTGTGTTTTTTACGTGTATGTGTATGTGTGTAAGAGAATACAAAAGGATTTAAATCATTTTAAAACACTTAAATATTTATACAAACCTATCAAAACGATTCCATAAAAAACTCTTACTGTTCATGGAATGAAAAATATAGTGTAGATAATATGTTCATCACTTTTCAGGCCAATTTATATTTTTCTTAGCTAGTTTTGCTATATATTATACTCACAAACAGGGCCATTGAATTTTATGTAAGTATAATAATAATGCTAAACCTTTAAGACTGCGCGATTACGATACTTCATACACAGTTGTTTCTACTACTTCATTTCTAGGTACTTCAGGTAGTTGACATTTACTACAAAATTGATCGTAGTGTGTTCAATGCGTGAAGCCATTCTTTTTGAGTGGGGTGGGTGTAAATCTGGTCGAAATAATTGCTAGCGTTATCCATAAGACTTTCTGAAAGTCCAGAAAGATTTCAATTCATTTTATTGGATAAAACTATTCTTATTCCTATCCAGGTGATAGCGATCAAATAAACTGTACTTGTAAACAATAATTTGATTCGAAACAATTTGATATTAAAACTTGGCACTATGCTCTTGAATAAGTATAATCTACTTATTAGTTGGGTAAAATTACTAGGCAAAACTTATTTATTATTAGTAAAATGCAACCAAATTATAGATTTGATTTTATGCAAAGATTATTTCTTTACAGTAAAATAACAGTAATATAAATTTTCCTTTTTCTGTTAGGTAGGTATACTTATGAAATATTTTATTCGGTTCGACAATAATTTATTATTGGCATGACAATGGCTATTCGATAGTGGAACTATAATATTAGTGTTTACATTTGGACCTTGGTCGAGTATTTGATAAGAACGGGAATCACGCCTTGTCGCGTCAGTACAAAGCGACTGCTGTGATGCAACCGACAAGCCACAACTTCGAACTCAAAACAGAGTCAGTCGCCGTCTCGCGTCTGTGCCGCACCAGTACGTTCGCGCCAGACAACTTAGAATTTAGAACTATCAAATACGCTTTGTGGGTTTGCTGTTTCTTCGCTTGATGACTTAACGCTGGCGAATTACATTAAATTAAAGGTGGGCAATTCTTTTTTTTTGTAATTTACTGATTATACCAATGAATTTATTTAATAAAGTGTAAATAGAAAATCTATTTTGGATGTCCTCGTTAGAGTTTAATATTCGTAGAAAATTGAAATTAACCAAAATATTTAAGATTTCACAATGAATGAAATGTAATTATCCGATTCCTATCGGGTTTGTCAGTCATTTGGGTTTATGGTTAAAACAAATCACGACTGATTTCGAATAGTGAATACACGATTAAAGAACAGTGTTGAGGTTTCGACAGATCTTAACACTATTCTTTTTATCGCCATTAATAGATAATTAAAATATGTTTCTGTTAATTGTTACTGATATTTTACAAACTAACCGCTACTGGAAATGTCGATACGTCGGAGTAGTCTTTCTTGAAGTTACATGCACTTTACGACGTATGAGCCCACATTGGCTTATTTATGTCTCAAATATTGAACTGTTTAGTGTCACTATCGATGTTTTCTTCCGTGAGGTAATCTGTTTGCGTGTGTGCATTTGGATCATAATGCCGTATTATAAGTAATGAGACAGTAGTTGATATATACGCTATCGGGTGCACTAGGGTCAAAGGAGATAGGAAGGAGTCAAGAACATCTTGACGTCCGCCTTTAACGAACATTATCAAATGTTTATTTTAGCGCACATTATTAACATTCAAAATCGTGACTTTTATACACTTTCACGTAATTCATTTAATAAATATGAGGAAAATTATTTCTTTAAACGCAACAAACGCTGATTCCTAAGCAAAATAAATGTGCTGAACATTAAACAATACTGTCTTATACAATAGGTGTTAGAAAAAAAAAGACAAAAATGTTTAGAGGTTTAAAACAATTATTTTGACAGATGTATTCGAGGATAAAGGTCATGAACATCTACTAACTCTTCTAACGCTATACAATGATAAATATTATAATATATATAATTTTGATAATGATTTGGTTTTCTCTCAAAATCTTTGACAATTTTTTTTGCATTTATCTTGATAACGCATTTATGATGATTGATATAATCATCAATTTAAAATCATAAATGCGTTAACAACAATAGACATGTCTTTTACAAAAAAAAACAGTAGTCATATTCTAACTTACGCTAATTTTACAAAAAAATTACGGATTTGATTCTGTTAAATGACCGATTAAAATAAAGCCTATAACGACCGATTAAAATTAAGCCTATAATGATATAGGCTTCATTTTAATCGGTTTAATTTCTGATAGAGATGACTATCAGAGATCATGGCTAATCTGGTCATTGATCTTTCTGTTAATTAAAGATTGATAACATACCTACAATAATTTAATATTGAACTCCCACAATAAAAATACACGTACCTACACATGCCTCAGCATAATATTTTTAAATACATATTTAAAATAGCCGCTTAATTACATAATCGTTGAATAATTCCATTAAAAACAAAACGAAATACTAAAATACAAACAGATTATACATCACACATCATTCACATTACAGAGCATAGATTAGTACTAATGTACTTTAAAGTCTGCGAAACGTAACGTAATTTAAATTACGAGTATGAGAGCTAACCAAGCTGTAGAAGATTTTGTTTTATCTTATTTAAGTAAAGTTCTTGTGAATGAAAATAACCTTTCACTAAAATGAGTGGTGAGTGAAAGTGAATGTGCTGATACCGGTATCATTACTCTGTTATCTACGAGCGACTCCGGCCCTGGACAGCCTTCTGCAATTGCCACTGCACTACCACAACAAGAAAAACACGAACTTAACGCTTTTAAATTATTAGATACGTACGATACGATACGATATAGAACGCACAGCATAAAGAGTTTAGCTTATCAAACCTTTAGACTAAAACTTTCGTTTTTTTGATATGTATAGAATACTTTGTTTTTAGGTGGGATTATTAAAACTTAGTATGTATCTACCTTTTAATTTTGTTCATTGTTTATAAATGAAACCGGAAGAAGATAAAAACTTTATCAGTATTCAATGCTTCAATATTTTTAAAAGAAAATGATCAAAATAAATTGAGTCTATAAATAATAATGTCATCAGTGATGTATTTACCAATTATTATCTGTGATTAAAACTCAACAGAAAACACAAAGTAATGTTCTTAACCATATCGCCGCAATTAATTTTATAAAATAATTTATTGTTTAAAAACTACAAACTCTACAGGATATGGCATATCAGTTTAAAATACTAAAAGTTTAGCACAACCATTGAATTTTATGAAAATTTCCTTAATTGCGGGAGAGTTCACAGAGGTACTTATATCTTCGGTTGTTAAGCCACTTTAATTTCACTATTCGAAAACATCACGTTTACTAAAATAAAAAGCTTTATTCTAGAGGCACAATGATTCGGGTTTAGAAAAGAATTTCTTAGAGAGGTAACAAACATTATTATTATTTGACAACAAAGCATTTGACGCGCCTTGAAACACACAAAATACTACTGTTGCGGATTTCGTAGAAATGCAAGAAATTTAGCTAAAAATGACTAAAATCTGTAAACTTGAACAAAGAAAGTTATTACAACCGCTATAAAGGAGCATATTACTACACCTAACCTTCTTTGTGTTATTCGGGGACACGTTGTTAATTATTAAGGGCAACAACAAAATTTACTGAAAAAATATCTATGGAATATTTATTATATTATCTATATTAGATTCTGCAAAAGGCGAGTTATGATGGCGGTTGTAGAAATGATTTTCAAAACAAAAAAGCTAATAGAGTTCCCGGGTATCCGTGGTTCGGTGTAGTAAGGTAAGTGCCGGTGAGCACTTACCAATAAACTAGCTGCGTGTTTGTCATTTTAAGAGTTTAAAAAATATACTGTCATAACTACAAATGAACTGGTATTTTCGTAATGATGATTGCAACTAGTTTCGTCTGATTTCACAAGAAATAGCAATTGCATACAAATAGTGTTATAGACAAAGAAAATCACAATTGCCCTGATATAATTTAGGGTTCCGAGAACCTAGCAAGGAACCCTTCTAGTTCCATCACATACGTCTGTCTGCTAGTACTAGAAACCTGTAATTTTGCATGGGAAGATGCAAAATTACAGGCTGGCAGGCAGGCATTATTAAGCATTCAAACAAATTGGTCAAAAAAATTTTTGGAAAATATATTTTTAATGTTACCTCCTCTTTTTTTTCCGTGCGGAAATCCCCTCGGATACCACCTATCGGTGGCATGTCGGACTCGAGCCGACTAAAACCGCACGCCGTCTCGGGTACTAATAGCCGGGGAACCAGGTATACCCTAGAAAGGAAGTCCCTGGTGCCCCGACATACCTCGGGGCATCTACAGACGAGTAGACGACCCCCTCCCCCGTGTGGGAACCCCATGTTTCCTCTGCTCCCTGGAAGCGAGCGTGCTTCACAACGCGCTCGCCGCCACCCTGGCCTGCTTCTGCTAGGGTGACAGATGGCCTCACCTGTCACCCCCCGGCCTGCGCTTATGGAGGACGGAGGTCGTTCTGCGACCTCCGGCGCCTGAGACGCCTGCGGTACCTGGCCCGCCAGGCCCGGGAGAGTTCTAAACCTGTCCCGGTCCCGCTCCGCCGTCTCCTTCGCGAGCATAACTTGCTCGCAGAAATGTTAACTCCCCTACAAGTAAAGTTAGGATGTTTTTTTTGCACATTTTTTTACGGATTGGTTGTGGAGTGTAATTGCAGTTTAAAGTTATTAAAAGTCAGAATCATAGTAAATAGCCTTTTCGAGGTCCTTTCGACCGGGATAGGCACAAACGGTTAAAATGCGTGATTATTAATGTATGTATAAAGTTCATATTGTAAATAGGTTTCACTTGAAATGTAAATAGGAAAATGATGTGTTCCAGTTATTTGATGCTTCAGTTACACGATGGTTACCGTGCAGCAGAAGGTGCGCTCGCGCATTGTTGACGAAATCTACACGTACTGCGCCTTCTGTGTTGCAGCCTCTACACTACCTGTGTTGGCTGTGTCATACGTTGGTAAGTTTAAGAATAATTCCGATATTTTTGACTCTAGTAAAATTGGTTTTATTTTCATTTTTATATACCCTTATTTATTATTTTTATCCGTAAGTCTCATTCAAATTCAATATATTTATTTCATAAAATTGGAAACCAATAATTTGAAATCATCCATTATTTACAAAACTATACTATTTATAACAAAACGCTTACTTACTTTGCAGTGGTAAGAGCTAGCAAATACCTATGGCTAAAATTGCTATCCAGTCGATATCCAGACTTTGAATTTATTCGTACAGACACAGTACGTTCTCTTCTAGACACACATAGAAATCAGGGTATTATCAATGTTTTACTGTCTATACAAGGTATGTAATGAATGATATGTTTTTGTGTCTGATAAAATAAAATAAATATTACTTTTTCTAAAAATATAGAAATATGCTGTCTGCTATATATCTCACCTTCAACAAAAGTGCAGGATTGATTTCCAAAATACACATAATGTGAATATGGAATATTTTCCAAGTATTTAATATCTTTACTTATTTCAGGTACATTTGACTTAGAACTGTTCAAACACCACTTACTGCAACATGTGGTCGAAAAACGAGACAACAAGGGTGACCTTATGTTCCCCAGGATAAGGCACCAATTGGTATCTTCCTGGGGAAATTATGCCTGGAATGCACATATAACTTTTAGAATAGAGAATCACATTATAGTCACGAATGCCGTTCATCGTGGACGGTCAGTAGGGCAAAGTAATATTCAGGTATGTACCCTATTTCTAAGCTTAGTTGCCAAGGCTAAGAAATAAAAAAATGTAGTGTCTCAAGTGTGTATCTGATAAATCAGTTTTATAAGATTTAATTACTATTTTTTTTTATCTTCTACAGGAGTATGTTAGTGAGATTATCTCAAAATACTTGCCAAGCGATCAGTCGCCGTGGCAGTACGTAATAATTCCCCTCAATTCAGAAGAAAAATACTACGTGCTTGTACGCGTGCACCACCTTCTGCTAACCGGAAAAAAGTCTTTGAATATTGGTGACTTCTTACTTATGGAGCAGATTCATCCTGGTGACAGGATAAATCAAACAGAGTACACACAACAGAGTCCTCTGACGAAACTGTTTCCAACACCGTCAGCTATTCCAGAACTTTGGGGGAAGTTGAACGAAAGTTTATCTAATACATGGAATGAATTTGTGTCAGAATACGACCCAGTAGAAAATCCTAGGGCTTTGAAAACATTACCAGGCTCTTTTCATATAGCAGGATTAGTACTAATTTGTACTGTAAGTGCGCTAAGAGAGCTCAATAAGAAGTCTAATGGAAAGAATGGTACAACTGAAGCGTCGGTTACGGCCTTTAGTTTCATAACTGCGTTACAACGTGAATGCAATAGAAGGCATTTAACACTAACCAAGGTAAACATTCTATATTTCGGACACAGGCTTTTTGTATGATTATTATTACTACATTATTTATTATATTATAGGTACGAACAAAAATACTAAAGCATTATAAGATCTACTTGTATCGACAAGTACATACTTACAAAAATAATGAATATTATAAAGCCATCACATTCCACTAAAGCTCATCTAGAATGTAGATATTCAAATAAAATATAACGATATCCTATGCAATATTGTGCAAATTTTTAAAATTAGTACTTGAACTTGAGACTTTAAATAGACTGGTCCTTTGTGTCGTTCGTAGCTCAGTGTTAAGACAATTTATTTGTTACTTTCGTGGGATTATAAACACTAACCTTGCCTGATCTACGACTCGTGGCGTTAAATTTTTACACAAAAAGTACACATACACAGTAGATACACATAACAACGACATGTTGCATATTTGCGTTCCGTTCAGTTTGCGTCATCGTCATATTAAAATTGATTGTGTTTAGCAAGATAAATATTAAAATCACCTTTATAATGCCACTTACAGATAATCCTGTCACCACTTGTAACCGGAGATCCTCGAAAATGGCCAGGTCTAGTGTTTGGAGCCACAATATCCTCATTCCGACTATTTTTTAAAATGCCAATACATATTAGAAATGAGCTTATAGCTATTAAAGAGTTGCGAACGAATGGACAGGTTCGAAATCTTGATACATTGACTTGGAGGTACGCAGAACTGGGACAACTGTGTGTGGCTGCGCTAGATGAAGCGGCAAGAGGACTGATCGAAGTATACCGAGCGCCTGCTAGGCTTTGGACTGAGACTGTAGGCGCTGACGACGGCAAGAGACATTTACTACAGACTGTGTCGTTGTGTGGACGAAAGGTACCTAAGTATTAGATAAGCTGATTCCCCGTCAAGGGGGTCACGACCCCCAGTTCACTTCTAAGACTGGGTCTTGGTGTATAATTTATAGTTTTATTGATAAATTCCAAAAATAAATTGATAAATCATACGATGTTAAGGTGGTTATCAACCTGGAGCCTGTCCTGAGTACTGACTAGACGAAAATGACAAGGTTCATACATATTTTTGTAATAAGTAATGCCACCAACTTGTATAAACTTTATAGTCATGAGTATTAAGTTGTATTTACAAGGTATTAAACAGAAATGTAGCTTAACCTCAATTGCGTTATTGTGAAGCATGAAATTTGATATCTGACTTTATACATGCAACCAAAATTTCGATTTCTTATATTTTGTTATTTGCGAATTGTCATTATTTAATTCGGGTTAACATGCTTACAAACATGTAATGTAGATATTAATTCCGTTCTGTTAATGGCAATGATACGATACGTTTAATTTATTAACGTACAGCACATGTATACTTGAATTATTCTCGCCTAGGTATATAGTCGACATCATCATGACTCCCTGTAACCAAGAGCCCAGAATTTGTCAATTATAATATTTAGTCCCACTTATGTAATATTGTCCGTGTAGTGACGGATTAAGAATACGGAATGTCACTACCCCTATTCATTCCGAGGGTGTCGTAAGAGCCGACTAAGGGCGCTAAACAACGCAGGACACCAGCACTGTAAAAAGAAGGAAAACTTGACACAAACCCTATACCAACCCGTCTGGCCAGCGTGGTATAGTAGGCCAAAACCTCCTTTCTAAGGAGAGGTCTATGTCCAGCAGTGGACTATTAAACGCTGTTGATGTGATGATGATGTAATATGGGCCAAGCCCAGTGGCGGATTTCCCCAAGGCCCAGTAGGTCTGGACCTAGGGCGGCCAGATACGAGTATTAGGGGCGGCTGATCGTGACAAAAAATTCAGTGAAGAAATAACTCAAAGTACTTAAATAATCTAAAGGATAGCACACATTATGGCGAGCCGCACTGCACTGCATCGTATTATGTATAAAATATATGTATAATGTAATGTAAAATACAATTAAATGTACTTATAAGTTATATTCTACATGTTAAAATCATTCGCTCGCACAGAATTCGCATACTCTGTAATTATCTGTCCTGTATACGAGTATGAGCGAACGATGCAACGCGTTATATTAATTTATTGTCACGACGTCAACACGTTGCTTCTTTGCATTGACAATGCAATTATACAAAAAGAAGGGCTTGAGAAACATTCTAAAAAGAGTAGTCGCATGTGTATAAGTGCTTGCATGTGGTTTGCTTATTTTGAGCACACGGCACACGACACGAAATTGGGTTCAAATTGAAATGGGATTAATAATGTCTTTAGAGAGTAGCGCTAAGCAAGCCTGACCAGGCCCTTAAAGAATTACATTCCAAAATAGGGAAAAGCTTGCAAGGAAAGGTGGAAACGAAGTGAAGGGAATGTTTTGAAATTAATATTGCTAATACGAACGAATTGGAGAGTGTAACCAAGAGCTGGAACAGGTGCACGAATTTTCTAATGCCGAATATACCGTGCCTGCCATTAATATCAAATAACTTATTGAAATGTATCTGATTCTGATCAATACAAACCTAAGCAATTCTTAAATATCAGCCCAGCCAAGATGTACCTACGATCCAACAAGAACTCTCTTAATTGTAAGAAGATATGACCCATGTTGTGTTTTCAGTAGATCTCAACAATTCTAACGATATTGTGTCACTAGTTACGTATTGTGCTATGTGGGTCTATCTGAAAATAGATATTAATCTATAAATCAATTACCTATTTAAAACGGAAAATAGAGAAGAATATACACATTTCAAAATACAACATTTTACTTTAGAACCAATGGTTATCAGGTGGCTGCCTGGTCTCGCCCGGTGGAACGCGCAGGCATCGAACGCGCCGCTCGCGCACTCGCCGTGTCGTCCACCGACATAGCGCTGTACGCGGCCACCGAGGCCGTGCGAGCTTTCTTCGAATATTCGCACACTGAACCGCCGAATTACGTGCTGGCTACGGCGAGAGCCGCTCCCGACGATTTCTTATTTACCTTTGCTCAAGGACACGGGAAGAGTTATAAGAAGTCCCAAACGGGAGGTAAGTAAAGCTGTAAATATTTACGTTTTCCAAGTTACATTAACAGGACAGACATAGCGTATTAAATATTCATACTTTGCTCACTGTAACTTAGTCCCGCTCAAGTCCTTGGGGATAAGTTTATTGCTACAACATTACCTTGATAGTTAACAAAGGGAAATTAGGGACTTTATAAAAAGAGAAAGAAGGGAAGTCAGAATATGATCATCGCTAGAAAGTTCAAAGTTTGAGTAGGTTACCGTCGCATACCTATAATTCGAAACAGTCGTCGACGGAATTTTAGATCGGTAGAATATACACGGTGTACATTATTATTAATCTTGCAGTGCAAAGCAAAGTAAATCTCAAAAAGCAGTGTTCAAAGTAAATCCTTCAGGTGTAATTTGGTAATAGGAAAAGTACGAGAGTTAAGAGTAAAATCTGGGGAGTGCGATGCTCTGGCACATTTCGATACATGAGAGCATGAGAGATAAGGTAACTTAGAGATAATTAGAAATAATTTTTAGTTTCATTTCTATCCTGTGCTCGCTTCTCAGCGCGCAAGATTTTTTATTTTATACAAAGCAGTTTAATTTTGGAACGGTATTCGCAGGAATGATTTGCTTGCCGCTGGTGCTGGGTGCTAGCCCGCGCCACGTGAGCGCGTGCGTGGCGGGCGCGTGCAGCCGTCAGGCGGCGCTGGCGGGCGGCGCGGCGGCGCAGGCGCGCTGCGGCGCGGTGACGCGCGCGCTTCCGTCGCCGCTGCTGCGCCTGGCGCTCAACGTACTGTCGCGGCGCTACGCGCTTTCGTACGCCGAGATCGGCGCGCCACCGGGGGAGCGCGCGCGCCGCGTTCTTTGGGGGCACCGCGTGGACGCTCTCGTGTATTGGCGACCCTCCCAGGCCAACATCAGTGAGTCGCTATAATCATAAAAATATTAACAAAGAACAATTTAAACAAAAAAATTATGGTGATATGTTGCTTTTCGGTATTTGACCTATTTATGTCACCACGACTCTTAATTAATATGGTTCTGACTGAAAGTAATTAGAAAAAGAAACAATTTTAATGCGACTGCGACAGTCAGATAAATACTCAGACATAAAAACACTAAAATCCCTAAAATAAAATTTCCAATCGTAAATAATTATACCTTCTCAAACATGCAAGCAAAATGGCAAGCAAACATCTCAGTAGAACTCTCAAGCAGCGTGTCCTTGCACTTAATTCAATTGAAGAACTTTTTAAGGGTAAAAATGTGCATAATATATCTATTTGACAGGTTTTAACGTTTCTAAGTATTAGTTATTATAACGCTTTAGTATGTTTGGATCTAGATATCTAATGATGTTATTCCAAGATATTATTATTATAGTTATAGCTATATGAATTATTAGCTTTACTACAAATAACATAGGAATAATTATGTGATACCCTTTAAATTATAGTTTCAAAATCTAGTGAAGGCCCCAAACCAATTCTACAATTATCTAAAAAGTTTATTTTTATTTTCAGGTATGTCGCTTACAGTAATTCACTATGCGGACACTGTGCGACTCGCTGTAATGGCGGACGCACGCTTAGGGCCCTCGCACACGATACCTGCGTCGCGATGGCCCACCGTGATAGAACAACTAGTCACAAAAATAGACCAGGAAATCGCCAAAATCACAGCTAAAGCACATTTAGCTGCAGGTACCATACCAAAGATTATCACTACACCTGAAACCACCGCTGAAGCTGAAGACAACGAAAATATGGGAGAAAGTGGCGAAGACTCGGGAATGCTTCGGCCGCCAGCAACGACCACCACTAGCCCACCGCCAATTCGTAGAAGAATTGTATATAACTAGATAACATATGCCTTCTGAATGGCTCTAATTACGATATAACATTCAAAATGTGATGATGGTTTTAAGGCTAGTCTACAAATTTGCAAAAAGTAGACTAAGAGGGCAAATTTGTCATCATGACCTACTCTCGCAAGTAACGTACAGTTACGTACATTCAAGTGAATGAAAGAGGTTTATAATTGCTGATACGATTCAACTAAAGGGTAAACAGGGGATACCTTTTATGTGATCAATTCAATTAATACGTAGGTCACTATATAAATTTTGCGACACGCAAATAGTACACAATCTTATATATAAAATTCTCGTGTCACAATGTTAGTTACCATACTCCTCCAAAACGGCTGGTCCGATTTTTATGAAATTTTGTGTGCACATCGGGTAGATCTGAGAATCGGCCAATATCTATTTTTTATACCCCTAAATGACAAGGGTGACCCACCCCAAATTTTTTTTTTAAGATTTCCTAGAAATAATGTATATGGCAAAACAACGTTTGACGGTTCAGCTAGTTTATACTTATAAGTTACATTATATCTTTTCAAAATCTATCATTCCCTATACAAATTTCCATCCGCCTAAACCAGTCTTGGTAGCAGTTATTCCAGTCTTCCTCCGACAGGTCAAAATTGATTCGTAGGCAGGCACTTGAAATAACTTGCCTTTATGGTGGGGAATAAAAAGTCGCAAGGAGCTAGTCGAGCCTGTACCTAAGGTGGGTGAGGTAGGGTTACAATACCTGATTCTTGAATAAACGCCTTTGTTCTGAGGGAAGAGTATGAAGACGCATTGTCGTGATGCAGCATCATTCTTTGGAGTCCGGTCTTTGGTCGTTTCTCCTGCACAGCATTGAAAACTTTTTAATTCGACTGTAGTGTACCATTCTGAGTAAACAGACTTTCATTCATTCACACTCCAGTCAATTCTCCAGTATTGAAGTTGTAGCATGCCCACTCTGTGAAAAAACTGGCCACCATTTTTCTTTTTTTTTTTCACACAAACACGACCGTCTGATTCCAAACTAGGCAGAGCCTGTACTATGGTAACCAGACCGCTGATAAACATACTTATATATTTCTAAATACATACATATGTATTATAGATAAATTACACCCAGACAGAACAAATGACCTTGTTCATCACACAATAACTGTCCTGGGTAGGCATCGAACCCACGACCTACGGTTTAGTAGTCAGGGTCATTAAAGACTAGACCAACGGGCCCGTCCGCAAATTGCAAAGACCGCTAAAAATTTATTTGCCAATTTTTCGCAGTCTTTGCAATTTTGTTGGCAACTGGCCACCTGGAAACACCCATACCGAGGAACGCTTCTTGCTTTCTGGATCATATTGACATATAGATGTTTCGTCACCAGTAATGATTTCAGAAACATGTCTTGTCCTCCCATTTTCAAAACGTAGACACACCACCCGGCACCATGCCACATGGGCTTCTTTTTCCGTTTCGGAGAGCAAACGAGGTATCCAGCGACAACAAAGCTTCCTCACTCTAAGATGTTCATATAATATGGTGTGAACACTAACCAAACGGATGCCTAATATTTTCTTTATGTCCTTGTATGTAATTCGTGGGTCAACTCGCACAAGCATTTCAGTAGTCCACACCTTTTCAGCAGTGACTGCTGTTAGCGGGCGTCCACTTCTGTCATCATCTTTAAGGCTAGTTTTCCATCCATTCCACCATATAAAAATGATTGCCCGAGAAGGAGCAGACTTACCTAAGCTGTTTTTAAACGTTCTAAGCTTAAACCTTCAGATAAACTACATTTAAAGTCGTAACATATCATAGCACGCAAATGTTCACCATGTTCCATGCAGACGAAAAGGGGGGAAATGATGACATATAACACTTCTAATTTTTTTTTTAAATTGATGTATATTTGTGTTCGATTTTCAAATAAATTTGCCTTTTAATAATATATGACACAGATGCGTTCCATTTTCAAATTTACTCTGAGCCTCTCAACACTTATATTATAGTGACCTACGTACACACTGCCTATAGAAACAATATACCTATAAAAATTAACTCATGTCGCTGTTAATTTTCTATAAGATGATGAGTTTTTAAATATCCGAGTCATAAGATGTTGGGCAGTACGTTAGAGTTAGTACCTGATTTTAATAAAAACTAAATTACATAAGTTCTTTATTATGATGTTTACAAAGTGAGAATATTTTAACTTTTCTAGTATTTCTGAACGGAATAGGTTTGATGTGAGGTCGCTGAGAGTTAATGTAAAAAAAATGTTTATATGTACTTCAGTTGATATATACCAGAGTACTTAATGTAATATTTATGTGAGTTGTTTTCCAATGAAATAAAAGAATTGTGACTGAAGACATGCATTTTAATTCTAAGTCTTCATCAGTAGCCTTTAATAGTTCATTGCTGCACATAGGCCTCCTTAGAAAGTAAGTTTTGGCCTAATATACACGCTGGCCAGACGGGCTATACCGTCTGGCCAGCGTGTATATTAGGGAAAAACTTAGTCCAGACGGGTTGGTGTATGCTATCATACCAACCCGTCCCGTCTTCTTCTCTTTGCAGTGCTGAACTTCGTAGTGAATGAATGAAAGTGTAGGGGATGAATGCTCTTGCAGACGAAGGGAGCAACCCTTAGTCTGTAAGAGCATTCATCCCCTATTCATCCGGCCGTAAGATTATCACGACACGGTGATTTCATGTCGTAAGTATGAAACCCCAGGATGAATAGAATGAGACTGTATTCTTAATCCGCTTTACTCTTACTACCTCTTGAGTACAAGTACCTACTATTCTCTCAATCTTGATTAATATGAAAAAATGGAAGTAAGTTTGATTAAATATCGTCACTTATCGTATGTGAAGTTTTCAGTTCGTAAGTCAAAAATATCAACTTTACAGGAGAGCGAAATAACTGTTCTACTTAACATGTTATTACTTTTATTGTTCACGTGAATATGGAATTATTTCTTATAACATTGTTTTATTACAATATTATGATATATATTCTCTCTTATTATTTTATCTAGTTATTGTTTTAAGCTTATCGTTACCAGTCAGCCCCTCTGTTAATAAATAAAAAAAATATGTTTCGTAGGATATAAAAGTGTTTCTTAAAAAAATCTGTATTCATAAAATTAGCAGATTACTGCCCTCATATACGAGTAGTACCGTACCGTATTTAAACCACCTATCAATTGAAATTAATTCGGCCTAAATAAGTATTTGTAATAAGATTTAATATCACTACTGCAGTTTATTTGTATACCTTCAGACTTACTTAAATAAAACGACTCGTTTTTTTTAAATATTATAATCTATTAAATTTTTTACTTTTTTTTCGATTTCTTTTTGCTTTTCTTAACTACTACTTCTTCTTTTCTCTTATTGGAATCTTTAAAACCTTCAACGTTGATTTTTTCTTTAGATTCTTCATCCACATCCATGCTGTCTTTGTTTTCGGGTACGTAGCTAAAGTCAGGCACGTAAGGCTCGACTAGTTGGAAGACCAGTTTTCTATGTTGTAAGTTTGTGCTGTCCAGACTCAGTCGTACAGTCAGCTCGTCAAACGTACGCAACACTACGTCACCACACGACTGGAGATGTTCCTATAAATAAAGAAAAACATAGAGAAAAATGTGCTGACGTTTTTGGTTTCGTCATTTGAATCTCACATCAAATTCCAGGGGAGCACCAGTACACCAGGGACTTCCTTTCTGGGGTATACCTGGTTCCCCGGCTATTAGTACCCGAGACGGCGTGCGGTTTTAGTCGGTTCGAGTCCGACATGCCACCGACAGGTGGTATCCGAGGGGATTTCCGCACGGAAAAAAAAAAAAGAAAAGGGAAGCACCAGTACTTTCTTTAATTGTACTTTAAGCTGTTTTAAAACTATCGTATTTACTTAACTTTAATGTAGTTTTAACTTGAATGTGTCGAAATATTAAATTCGATCTGTGATACACAGGTTTATTAGAAAATCAATTCGAAAATGGATTTAGAGCGTTTTACATATTAATTCTACTAAATTAAATTCTACATTACTCAATATGGAATTACGAATGAATCTATTAAGGACTTGAGATCATCCTCTACCGATATGTAAATGTTCCTTTAACCAATGGATGCTAATTTCCAATGGGAAGCAGTTTTCAATAGATCGGGCGGTTGTAGATCGGCACAGGCATAGATCATAGATTTTTGTATGGGTTTGATTTTTGTTAAATTTATTTGCTAACTATTTGACAAAACAGAGATTGTTGCTTTTGTGTGTGTTGATCTGTGACTTTGGAATCTACATAAAAGACGATTTCAAACAATTTTGAAAATTTTATGAAATAAAAAGAGTTTGAGTTTGAATACACCTATATGACATTCAATGTCGAAGCTTATTTCTCACTTCAGTCTACTTATGTCTAACTTTTTTTAGTCTAATTTTTCAATAAACACACATTGCACCAGTAGATTAAAACAGTTTCAACTCAGACGCGCCTTTGATATAAGACCTATCTCTTAGCGTTCCATGGTTTTACCGTGCGGGTGCCGGGTCCATTGCGTTTTATATGGGACAACACATGCGACTTCGACAGCGCCTGGGGACAGGTATAGGTTTAGGGAGTACTCCTTGCGACGCGTCAGGGCTCATCTCCACTGACTGCTGTGTTACCCCCTCTACCTAACCATATTTGATACGAGCCTAGCAATACCGCTTTGGATATTCGTTCAAGACAAGAGCTTACTGAAGCTCTTGGCAATCCAGTCTGTAAGCAGGTTATAGAGGGATTTAGTTAGTATACCCCACGCACCCACTTCCACGGCATACAACGCAATGACATAACTGTTTTTAGTTATTCCGTTGGTTGAGTCAAAGCACTTGTTTCTTTGAAAGCGAGGTCTTTAGGGATGTTCGTTTCCCACCGTGAGTTCTAATAATACTACACTACAATATTTAAAACCCCGATTCGTATGACTTCACGGTAGTAAAACTAAACTAAACTAACTAAACTAAACTGTAGAAGCTACGTTTTTACTAACATCCGGTAGACTTAACAGTCGCTAAAAGACTGTGTAGGTAAATGAACCGCCACCCCATCGAAAATACCGTACTTCTGGACGAATAGTAAAATATTCAATTGTTGAGTTAAAACAGTTTCAATTTAGAGATGAAATAACAATTTTCTTTATATTCTATAATTTCTTTATATAGTAGTTACCATTATTCACTAAAGGCATGCAATATATCAACGTTGCTGATATGTGTTACTTACTTCTCCATTGTATAGAAATTTATCTGACGGCAAATACAGTGGACCTTCCAACCCGTATTTCGGTATAAGAACTTGTAATGCGTTCCGTTTCACAGCAAGCACTACGGCCTTTTCTATTTCTACGCGGTTTTTAAACAATATCTGTAAAATAAAACATATTATTTATTACTATTGTACCCGTATTTCTTAATTTTTCCGGTTATGTATGGAATTTGTCCCCAGCCTATATCGTCACATAGAGAAATATTACGTTATGTAATTTTGTGAAAAAAGTATGGCGATTACATGTATATATTTTTAAGATAACAATATAACTGTGTCATAGAGATATAAGCATAGGGTGAACAAGAGCCTCAATCTTGCAATATAGGCAACGAGAGAGATTGATAATAGAGAGTTCCCTTTATCTCTTTCTGGTCGAGCTCTATGGTTGGCTGGGGAAATTTCGAATCTCCCGCCTGTTCTACGATTAAAACCATGCCCACTTCACGATAGCCAATCGCAGCTTAGCTAAAGAGAGATAGAGGGAACTATCGGTCATCGAGCTCCCTCGTTGCCTGTATCGCTTCCAATTACAGACAGCTGTACCTCGTGTTCTATCTATGCTTATGTCTCTATGGTCAATATCTTAATTTATTTCTTATGAAAAATAGCTTTTTTGGTAAGTGTTTTTTTATCTTTTGGAAATATTATTTTTTAGATGAATGTTTTTGCTGTAGTATCCTGAGTGGTTTGTTTAAACTCATTTTTGTACATAAATTAGAATTGGGTCAGTGTTAATAAAACCCCCTGTATAATAGGTATACACACATGAGTGTTGAGCGCGACCGAGGCCCGGCCCGCGTACTGCGCCTGACGATGTCTGTAGTTGAGGTTGTCGCAGATGGCGGCCGCCTCCTTGGTGTCCAGCAGCGTGGCGTGCGTCACGTCGCAGCCTACGCACGCGGCCAGCAGCCGGTGCACGATCACGTCCGCGTAACTGACCATAGGGAACATTTTTTCTATATTTCTCTCTCTTCCCTACTGAAGACTGTGTTCACAAGTTTACAGCAATATCCATGAATATAGTTAGATTTTAGATTGTTTATATTTGCAACGTAATTGAAATGATGAATCAAAAACTATATAGACACAAAATGGATACTCGCTCATTGAAAACACTGGTTAGCATTTGTAACTTTCCTAAATAAATAATGCCACAATATTAATGCATAAACAGTGCAATGGGAGGGGCCTATGTCCAGCAGTGGACTGCGATAAGCTGATGATGATGACGTTATTGTTATATAATATTTTCGTAGTAAATCAAATAAGACAAGTATAACTTATTCTAATATTTAAGTATACTCTTTTCCAAGGAGAGGCCTATGTCCACCAGTAGACTATTAAAGGCTGTTGATGTGATGTGATTAAAATAAGTTTGGTTAGTCGTATTTTTTAAAGAAAAATCCCAAAACCATATCGAAATGAAGGACTGCGTGGAACAGGATGACGAATGCTAGATAAGAATGGTAGAAGGAAACTCATTGACAAATATATTTGACGGTAATAGGATGCTGAAATTTTTCGTAGCTTCTAATAATTATTGAGTAGTAACCTAGTAACTTACTAAGAACTCACATACTTCTTTTTTACTTTCTTCAATTATAGAAGAAATCTTAATAGATATTTAGACTTAATTTCTACGAGTGAGATCTCCATCTAATCTGTCTTTTTCGTGATATGCAAATAAAATGTCATAAAAGCTATGTATTAACTTACCGTCGTATAGGCGACGTGAAATGAGTATAAATGGGACACGCAAGTCCATAATGGTAGAACTCCTCTTGAGTTTTGCTCCCGCTGGAGAAATAAACCGCTTGCTGCATGCACCTCGTTGCCATGATACGCAGTAAAGTGTTGAAAAATGGACGGCTAGGGATTACAGCTTCGTCCAAAGATTTGGAGAACGACTTGTTCGTAGACACATCTATTTCGAAACCCTGTTGGCGACAGTAAAAAGTCATATTTTTTGTTAAACGTCCCTCTTATTTATGTATTTAGTGATTTTTTTAGTTTAGGGTTTTGCAAAAATGAAGATACCAGTGTACAAGACGAGAACATCAAAACAAGTTTTTAATATGAAAATTATTGTAAATGGCCTGCAGTGGCATGTTTGCGAATAACCTTTTTTTAATAAAAAAATTTCACACACCATACCACCATATTCGGTTTTCTATCCGTTTTGTTCGGTTATCATTTCTAACAAACAACACCCCCGGCTAGTGTAGTGAGCGCCAGGAGGCTTGTCGCGCCGCCTTGAGGAATGCGGTGAAGTGCGCGGGGTGCCTCCCGAGCAGTAGTACACTGCAGTAGTACCTGTTGTCGCGCCGCCTTGAGGAAGGCGGTGAAGTGCGCGGGGTGCCTCCCGAGCAGTAGTACACTGCAGTAGTACCTGTTGTCGCGCCGCCTTGAGGAAGGCGGTGAAGTGCGCGGGGTGCCTCCCGAGCAGTAGTACACTGCACTAGTACCTGTTGTCGCGCCGCCTTGAGGAATGCGGTGAAGTGCGCGGGGTGCCTCCCGAGCAGTAGTACACTGCAGTAGTACCTGTTGTCGCGCCGCCTTGAGGAAGGCGGTGAAGTGCGCGGGGTGCCTCCCGAGCAGTAGTACACTGCAGTAGTACCTGTTGTCGCGCCGCCTTGAGGAAGGCGGTGAAGTGCGCGGGGTGCCTCCCGAGCAGTAGTACACTGCACTAGTACCTGTTGTCGCGCCGCCTTGAGGAAGGCGGTGAAGTGCGCGGGGTGCCTCCCGAGCAGTAGTACACTGCAGTAGTACCTGTTGTCGCGCCGCCTTGAGGAAGGCGGTGAAGTGCGCGGGGTGCCTCCCGAGCAGTAGTACACTGCAGTAGTACCTGTTGTCGCGCCGCCTTGAGGAAGGCGGTGAAGTGCGCGGGGTGCCTCCCGAGCAGTAGTACACTGCACTAGTACCTGTTGTCGCGCCGCCTTGAGGAAGGCGGTGAAGTGCGCGGGGTGCCTCCCGAGCAGTAGTACACTGCAGTAGTACCTGTTGTCGCGCCGCCTTGAGGAAGGCGGTGAAGTGCGCGGGGTGCCTCCCGAGCAGTAGTACACTGCAGTAGTACCTGTTGTCGCGCCGCCTTGAGGAAGGCGGTGAAGTGCGCGGGGTGCCTCCCGAGCAGTAGTACACTGCACTAGTACCTGTTGTCGCGCCGCCTTGAGGAAGGCGGTGAAGTGCGCGGGGTGCCTCCCGAGCAGTAGTACACTGCAGTAGTACCTGTTGTCGCACCGCCTTGAGGAAGGCGGTGAAGTGCGCGGGGTGCCTCCCGAGCAGTAGTACACTGCACTAGTACCTGTTGTCGCGCCGCCTTGAGGAAGGCGGTGAAGTGCGCGGGGTGCCTCCCGAGCAGTAGTACACTGCACTAGTACCTGTTGTCGCGCCGCCTTGAGGAAGGCGGTGAAGTGCGCGGGGTGCCTCCCGAGCAGTAGTACACTGCACTAGTACCTGTTGTCGCGCCGCCTTGAGGAAGGCGGTGAAGTGCGCGGGGTGCCTCCCGAGCAGTAGTACACTGCACTAGTACCTGTTGTCGCGCCGCCTTGAGGAAGGCGGTGAAGTGCGCGGGGTGCCTCCCGAGCAGTAGTACACTGCACTAGTACCTGTTGTCGCGCCGCCTTGAGGAAGGCGGTGAAGTGCGCGGGGTGCCTCCCGAGCAGTAGTACACTGCACTAGTACCTGTTGTCGCGCCGCCTTGAGGAAGGCGGTGAAGTGCGCGGGGTGCCTCCCGAGCAGTAGTACACTGCACTAGTACCTGTTGTCGCGCCGCCTTGAGGAAGGCGGTGAAGTGCGCGGGGTGCCTCCCGAGCAGTAGTACACTGCACTAGTACCTGTTGTCGCGCCGCCTTGAGGAAGGCGGTGAAGTGCGCGGGGTGCCTCCCGAGCAGTAGTACACTGCACTAGTACCTGTTGTCGCGCCGCCTTGAGGAAGGCGGTGAAGTGCGCGGGGTGCCTCCCGAGCAGTAGTACACTGCACTAGTACCTGTTGTCGCGCCGCCTTGAGGAAGGCGGTGAAGTGCGCGGGGTGCCTCCCGAGCAGTAGTACACTGCACTAGTACCTGTTGTCGCGCCGCCTTGAGGAAGGCGGTGAAGTGCGCGGGGTGCCTCCCGAGCAGTAGTACACTGCACTAGTACCTGTTGTCGCGCCGCCTTGAGGAAGGCGGTGAAGTGCGCGGGGTGCCTCCCGAGCAGTAGTACACTGCACTAGTACCTGTTGTCGCGCCGCCTTGAGGAAGGCGGTGAAGTGCGCGGGGTGCCTCCCGAGCAGTAGTACACTGCACTAGTACCTGTTGTCGCGCCGCCTTGAGGAATGCGGTGAAGTGCGCGGGGTGCCTCCCGAGCAGTAGTACACTGCACTAGTACCTGTTGTCGCGCCGCCTTGAGGAAGGCGGTGAAGTGCGCGGGGTGCCTCCCGAGCAGTAGTACACTGCACTAGTACCTGTTGTCGCGCCGCCTTGAGGAAGGCGGTGAAGTGCGCGGGGTGCCTCCCGAGCAGTAGTACACTGCACTAGTACCTGTTGTCGCGCCGCCTTGAGGAAGGCGGTGAAGTGCGCGGGGTGCCTCCCGAGCAGTAGTACACTGCACTAGTACCTGTTGTCGCGCCGCCTTGAGGAAGGCGGTGAAGTGCGCGGGGTGCCTCCCGAGCAGTAGTACACTGCACTAGTACCTGTTGTCGCGCCGCCTTGAGGAAGGCGGTGAAGTGCGCGGGGTGCCTCCCGAGCAGTAGTACACTGCACTAGTACCTGTTGTCGCGCCGCCTTGAGGAAGGCGGTGAAGTGCGCGGGGTGCCTCCCGAGCAGTAGTACACTGCACTAGTACCTGTTGTCGCGCCGCCTTGAGGAAGGCGGTGAAGTGCGCGGGGTGCCTCCCGAGCAGTAGTACACTGCACTAGTACCTGTTGTCGCGCCGCCTTGAGGAAGGCGGTGAAGTGCGCGGGGTGCCTCCCGAGCAGTAGTACACTGCACTAGTACCTGTTGTCGCGCCGCCTTGAGGAAGGCGGTGAAGTGCGCGGGGTGCCTCCCGAGCAGTAGTACACTGCACTAGTACCTGTTGTCGCGCCGCCTTGAGGAAGGCGGTGAAGTGCGCGGGGTGCCTCCCGAGCAGTAGTACACTGCACTAGTACCTGTTGTCGCGCCGCCTTGAGGAAGGCGGTGAAGTGCGCGGGGTGCCTCCCGAGCAGTAGTACACTGCACTAGTACCTGTTGTCGCGCCGCCTTGAGGAAGGCGGTGAAGTGCGCGGGGTGCCTCCCGAGCAGTAGTACACTGCACTAGTACCTGTTGTCGCGCCGCCTTGAGGAAGGCGGTGAAGTGCGCGGGGTGCCTCCCGAGCAGTAGTACACTGCACTAGTACCTGTTGTCGCGCCGCCTTGAGGAAGGCGGTGAAGTGCGCGGGGTGCCTCCCGAGCAGTAGTACACTGCACTAGTACCTGTTGTCGCGCCGCCTTGAGGAAGGCGGTGAAGTGCGCGGGGTGCCTCCCGAGCAGTAGTACACTGCACTAGTACCTGTTGTCGCGCCGCCTTGAGGAAGGCGGTGAAGTGCGCGGGGTGCCTCCCGAGCAGTAGTACACTGCACTAGTACCTGTTGTCGCGCCGCCTTGAGGAAGGCGGTGAAGTGCGCGGGCGGCGGCGCGGGGTGCCTCCTGAGCAGGGCGCACTGCGGGAACTCCGCCGCCAGCTTCTCCGCCACGCTCGTGTTGGCCAGCAACATGAACTCCTCCACCATGGAGTTTGTGTCCATTATCTTCTTTGATTGGACCTCTACCGGGTCGTGGGTCTCCGAGTCCACCTATGAAGTCAAAATAGTTATATTTTACTTCATTTGAAATACTTTTCTAATACATAACCATAATTCTTCATCAGTCCATATAGTCCACCGCTGAACACAAGCCTCTCCTTCGAAAGAAGGTTTTGGCCTACTATACTATACCACGCTGGCCAGATGGACCGGTATAGGGTTTGTTTAAAGTTTTCTTCTCTTTGCTCTGTCAGAGCTGTTGTCATGCATAGTTTGCTCCCTTAGGCGACTCTTACGACACCCATGAGATGAATAGGAGTGGTGACACACCGTATTTTTTATCCATCACCACACGGACTTAATTAAACAATAACTAATTTATTTTTACTTTAAACAAGGCTTACCTGGAACCTGATCTCCGGCGAGGCCAGCAACAGCGCACCGTTATCCATACGTTTCTTCTTCAATTTCTTGGCGAGCGCGTTGAGTATCCGCAGCGATGATACTATCGCGTCCTTACGTGATTTATCGTCTATCGCTATTTGTGCTTCTTCGTATGTCATGGCTGCCGCTGACTGTCAAAACATAAAATAGTTTTGGTTATCTTTCCTTGCACTATATTATTGTATTTCGTAAAAAGAGACGGAATTGGTTAACAGAAAGCTAAAGAAGCGGCAACACATTCATGACTCTTAAATTACAGGTGTCTGTGGTAGCCACTTACAATTAAGGGCTCGTTATCTCCTTATTTAAAAAAAAATACTTTACATTTGAACATGATTAGACAGTTTTAGATTAAATTATTTTAGAATCTTTACACTGAACTAGATGTACAAAAAACTATACATATCTGTAAACAGGTAATTGTTTTGTATTACTCACTTTAATAACACTCTTGTGGAACTTAGTACTCAACACATTGGCATTTTCATCGATCTCCCAAACACATGAGAATGCCAACCGTTCCTCACCGCCTCGCAATGAACACAAGTTGGAACTGAGAAGATCTAAAACAATTTGAAAATATAATATATTAATCTATTTATTTTAACCTCATTCATGATAGACAGATAGAAAACTCTTTATTTGTACACTGTTTTACAATATACTATAGAACGTAAAAATGTCAGACATGTAAGGTATAAAGGCTGGCCTTATTGCTAAGAACAATCTCTTCCAGGCAACCTTAGGATCGATCAAAACGTTTCGGAGAGACAGTAATAGTTGAAAGTGCAATGAGTCCATTAGCCATATACATTCGTTCATATGCCCGTGAATCGGAAAGTTAAGCCGTCTATCATCTCAATGGTGTACAGTATGTTTTTGAACCTCAATTATCATTTTCATATTTTTTAAATATGCTTTTATTTAATTCTTATCGTTTATTGTACTAATTAATTACTACGCGAAAGGCTTTTATAAAAGCATAAAGTGTTTTTGCCATTATATACATATTATATATTTTGGATTTATCCCGAATGTAATTCTGCCAAATTAAGTAATGTTAAAAATAATGATGATGATGATGATGTTTTTTTATATCTACATCATTAGTCATGAGTAACTCATTTGACATTTAAAGCTGAAATGAATAATTAACCAATACATACCTGGGACCATATCAATCCTTCTATCAACAAGATACACAGTTGTGGATCTATTCCCAGCCTCCTTGTCGAGCGCAGTGTTGGGTCTCACGAAGTACGTGACGTCAGCAATATGCACACCCACCTCGTACTTCTTCAAACCATTGTTGGTGGTACCCGGGATTGATTTAGCGTGTAAAGCATCGTCGATATCCGTACAGCCCGGCGGGTCCACTGAACAGATGCATTCGGAACGCAAATCGACTCTCTTCTTTATTTCCTGTAATGAATATATTTTATATTAATGCCCGCCTGTTGGTCTAGTAGTCAGATATCCTGACTGCTCAGCCAAAGGTCGTGAGTTCGATTCCCACCCAGAAGAAATAACTGTGGGATGAGCATGATCATTTGTTCTGTGTCTAATGCATCAATAATATGTATGTGTTTAGAAATTTATAAGTATGTTTATAAGCCCTCTGGTTACTTACAGGCACTGCCTAGTTTGGGAGATGTGTGGGGTATTATTATTTAATTTTACATTTTAGGCTGAATAGTAAAAAAATAATTCCATTGACTATCTTGAGATGTGTGAAACATTCCCATATAGGAATGAGCCGAAAATGAAACTTACTTCCTCCGGGATGGTCCAATCATCGGGTGGCAGACAAGCGAGCACAGCCTCACTAAAGCGAGCGTGAGGAACGTCATGCTCCAGCAATATCACTTCATTTTCAGCGTTTTTATTACCTGCAATTATTATATATTTATATATTTGATTACCACTATTGATAGTTGAAGGTCTTCAATACTGCACGAATGGCGTAGTGGCAGTCATCCCGCCGCTTAATACTGCGCTGAGTGTTGTGGGTTCAATTTCTTGATGGGACAACTAGTTGTTCTAAGTCTGGGTGTTTTTTGTGTCCGTTTCATGAATGTTTGTAATGCCCCCTGGGACACAGTCTATATTGCTAATGCGGGAGTTAACTTTTAAAAAAAAAAAATAAGATGCATCCTATTAAGATAAGCCTTAGACATCAATTTTATCACATTCATGTGTTTTGTGTTTTTCCTAGTGAGTTAATCTCGATACATGCAAAGATAAACAACCCCTTTATATGTAGTCTATCATGATTGCACAATTAAACGACACAATTCATAACTATGACGTAGGACAGCCAACTAGACTTATGTAGATGGGAGTTTTGTAGATTATACTCCTATGGTTATCCATAGGAGTATAATCTACTTCCACACTAGCAATATAAAATGCGTCGCAGGGGGACTTTATAAACACTCATAAAACGGAGTGAAAGTCACTTGAAAATATTATATTTTTTCTTTTCTTTTATTGAAAACTTCCCTTGCACTACGAATGATTTTGTTTTTTAAGTGATTTCACAAACATTGAACCAGTGGACACAAAAAACAATCACACTCTGGACAGTTATTTGTAGATTTTTCTCCCATATATGAATCAAACTTACAACACTCGCTGCTTCTTAGTTTCAAAGCTACCACTTTAACCATTGCCATACATGCAGTCAAAATATAGACACTTCTAGATGGAAACCAAAAAAGTTCCAACACTAAGTATTTTGAGTGAAATGTAAACAATAGAGTAGAGAGTAAAGCCATTACGAGTATTCTGGCTCGGCCTCTCTAATGTAAAGCGTTGTGTACTAACCTATAGGTCCAAGAGCTCGTACGAAGTGCCCAAGCGGATACCGACTATTTCTAGGCCAAGAGTCAAGAGCGACAAGTATCCGTTGTGACGCAAGCAAATCACTCTGACGTGTCTCTATGCGCACGCGCGGAATACATTTTTCCGCAGGAGTGAAGAGGTGGCGGGTCGCTCCTTGTAAAAAAAAACAAATTGATAAATTGTCAATAAAAACTTTTACTATTAGTTCCGTTACTATTAAACAAATGTTAATTTATAATTACATTACTGAATCTTTACCGAACGATATCGGTTTAAGCGTAACAGTCTTTGGCGAACATTCTGATCGTCTGTAAGTATTTCAACCAAAGACAACAAGAATATGTTGGCTCTTGTCGCTAGTGAATACCAAAGTTTTAGTCATCAGCTTGTTTACACGTTTGACGATTAGACACGTTTTGAAAATGCAATTTTACGGAATCGGGCCTAGATACACATAGACCTGAACAAGGCTAGCATTGGCTAAAATATTATTTGAAAAAAAAACTTACCCGGCAACTTGCTAGGCAAAAGAATACCACAATATTGCCGCCATTTCCTTCTTATAATTCCGACAACTTTCCCAGTGGGCGTAATTTCATCGTCAGCCTTATTAACTGGTTTTGCAGAATTCAGCAATACCCCTTCTTCTTCTAGAAGATCACCTGGATCATCAGCTTTGTCTTCTAAGACTATGTCACTGGGTTTTCTCCATTCTTCTTCAGGGAATATTTCTATAGCGACAATATCGCCGTCCACAGCTCTATTTATACCAATGTGACCTTGTAGTAAAATCTGTTAAAACACCACTTTAAATTCTTTAAAACTTAATGAAGTATACAAAAAATCGATTCATGTTTGCATTTAATTTAATTAATGTCAGCTAAGTTTACTTGTTTCTATTAGATTTAGAAGTTACAGCTTTACAAATAGAATAAAATTGTATTTAAGACATACTGTACAAGAACTTGGTCTTCCCTTAGTTTTGAGTCCACATAACAAACATTCGTCTAGAATGATTAACATGCATTCCATTCAATGTTTTTTTTAGAATTTAGGAATGTAATATAAATAAGCTATGGTAACTTATTTGCTAATTTCTCAAACTATCTATCAGATTCTTAAGTGCCGTTGAAAGTAATCATATAATAGCATGATAGACTTACAGGTTTTTCATATCCATTGACATTAGCAGTGCCTTCTAAGAAATTGTCCCTGGAAGCATGGAAAGCTCCTTGGTGAAGTTTGCCATTTCTGATGCCGTCATGTACCTGAGCAGGGGTCAAGTGAGCTGGGTACAAAGCATCCCTAGTGCAGCTCTCTGGTGCAACATTCTTAGCTAACTTGTCTGTCAGGCCGACAAAGCCAGTTACATTCTCAATGTAATCCTTTACTGTAAAAAAGATCTTATTTAATATAGTAGATATCATAACATAGTGTCTTTTAAAAAAAAGAAGGGAGAAGTCTTTTAAAATAAAGTGGTACTTTGATTAGTATTATAAGGGTAGAGCCTCCAAGAGAAAAAGAAAAGTGTAAAAAAAAGAGGCCTTATTGATCACTAATGTGGGAAAAAAGCTCTATCTATACTAATATTATAAAGCTGAAGAGTTTGTTTGTTTGTTTGTTTGTTTGTTTGTTTGAACGCGCTAATCTCAGGAACTACTGGTCCGATTTGAAAAATTCTTTCAGTGTTAGATAGCCCATTTATCGAGGAAGGCTATAGGCTATATATCATCAAGCTAAGACCAAAAGGAGCGGAGCACCAATGAAGAATGTTTCAAAAACGGGGAAAATTTATTACTATTGAGAGACGCAGACGAAGTTGCGCGGGTCAGCTAGTATACTAATAATATTATAAAGCTGAAGAGTTTGTTTGTTTGTTTGTTTGAACGCGCTAATCTCAGGAACTACTGGTCCGATTTGAAAAATTCTTTCAGTGTTAGATAGCCCATTTATCGAGGAAGGCTATAGGCTATATATCATCACGCTAAGATCAATAGGAGCGGAGCACTAATGAAGAATGTTGCAAAAACGGAGAAAATTTATTACTATTGAGAGACGCAGACGAAGTTGCGCGGGTCAGCTAGTTATGAAATAAAAATAAAAAGGCACCCTTAACATAACCACACGGTAAGATTTATTTAATTAAAACACAACAAGGGAAACATTAATAAATTTTTGGTTATCAATAGGATCTAGCTAGTTAAGATTGAGTTTTGGCCCTAGTTTTGATAATCTGCTAAAGTATTTCGCCTCCGTCCACTAGGATCCCCTGATTAAATACCCTGGGGATTTAGTTACATTTTTTGTCCATGGTAATCCCCAAGGATCCCCAGGGATCCTAAGGGGATTACCATGGACAAATGTTTGGAATTTTTATCCATTTTGATCCCCAAGGGAATTTATTTGGAAGTTTTTGTAGACAATTGATATTTTAATTTCAATTTTAAATAAAAAAATCTTATATAGGAATTAATAATCATTTGGTTTTCACTCCATATTTTTTCTAAAAATTTCATAATGTCTACCTCACCTACATCCATTTACTTAATAACCAGATGTCTCCCCCGGCTCCTACATGTATATTTTTGTTTCCCACTGTCCAAGAGAAATCCTCTAATGGGATAAACATTATCCTATGTATTCCAGATCATAGTTCGTTTTTTAAAATTTATAGGAATACTCACTTGATGTCTGAATGTCAAGAACAGTGCCCATTCTAATTGTTATTCTAAACCACTTAAAGTTCATCAAACAAATATTCATCAAAGTCGTTCTAGGCAGTATATAGTGATACATGTACATCGTTTTTATATACACATAGGTACTTATACCACTGAGAATAAACATTGTATCCATGTAAATCCACCAGGAGATCACACTTGATAAGGGGATTGGTGTGGACAAAAAATCCAAATGAATTCTCCAGGGGCTTTAAGTATGAGATCGTAGTGGGCAGAGCGATTTGATTACTCACCTGAACAACAGACAATTCCATTTTCTTGTGCGAGTTTCCTATTTTTTTCATCATCTGTAAGCAGTACAATCTTGGGGATTTGACCTACTACACTGTTGATACTCAAGTGTGACTCATACCAAGCTGATGCCCTTCTAATAGCTCTGTCGTTGCGATCATTTTGTTTTTCACCAGGATTTCTTTCTATGTAAGTGTCTCTGAAAGTATTAAATTACTTACTTATTGATGTAATTGAATAAAACTTTTTTGTATTGGAGTAATAAATATAGCCTTTTGAAAGTGATATTCATATTTATAAAAAACTAGGTGGTACCCGCAACTTCGTTTGTGCGAAATTTGAAGAGCACTGCCTTAGTGGATTCGATTCCCAGACCAGGCAAAATTTTAAAGGGTTTTTTAGTAGAAAAATAGACTAAGTTGCTCCTTATATATATAGACAGCTACCTGGTAGTAAATATTATCAAAATTAGTCCAGCCGTTTAAAAGATTACCCGGATCAAAGAGACAGACAGACATAAAAAATTTAAACTGGTTTTAGGCATAGGTATCGTGAAAATAACTGTGCAATCATAAAAAAACCTATTATTTTGACAAATTTTATTTATTTGTTTAGATATACAGGCTTACTAGTCTAGTAATTAGTGATCTTGTCTGGTAAGACAGGGGTTGTGGGTTTGATTCCCACCCAGGACAAATTTTTGCATGATGAACACAATCATTTCAATCGCATGTTAATAAAATCATACATCATTTATAGCTTGTCTGAGTTTGTGTTTAGGAGAAATTCTATTTTTTTATTTCAAAGAATGCTTTTTACAGAGCTTGAACTTGCATGCTATTGAAATTTTCTTTAGATAAAAAAAAATGAAAAATTATTTAACCAAACCATAATTGTTTATAGTAAATAACATTTTCTACTTAATATTTATTTTGGATTTGGATTAAAATGCAAGTTTTAACTTAAAGGTAAAGAAGCATAGTAAAAACACTTACTTATGATGTTCATTAACAAAAGAATAAAACTTTCTTTTCTTATTCCCAATAATCTCCAATAACCTTTGGAAAATAGCAGTGTTTTGATGCTTTACTTCCTCTAACACAGTCTGGAGTATTATCACATTGGTCAAGGCATCCTCTTCCAACACATCTATTTGGTGTAATACAACGTTAGTATCCAGAATCAAATAGTGAGGATAGTCAAACAAAGCGCAAATTGACTCTGGATTATCATCTAGTACAAATTCGTCATCTTTATGCGGACATGTGTTACAAGCAGCAGAGCCGCACAACAAGTCATCACGTAAGTAGTGTTCTCTCACAATCTGTGAAACAAAATACATGTATATTATTTATTCATAATAAAAATATCACGACTATCACTCTCAAATAACCTCACTTTTAAAATATTGCCGCGTTTTGTTTTGGTCAAGAAAGTCTTGGTTGTCCACATTTTTATGACTTAGATAATTGAATGTGTAGAGCTACACCATGAATATTTATAGTTTAACACGGATACAGAAATAATTACATTTAAGTTATTGATTTAATCACAATTCAGCAAATAACAACTCGCTTGTTGCTTTTGTTGACATGTGATAATTATCATTAAATTATGTGACACCTGACAGTTGTCAAATAGTTTAACCGCAGAAAGAGTCTAGTAGATGATAGTTGAGTGTGAAATACCACAGACTGTGATCCTGCCTTGGCTGTCGGCTGTCAACTTTTTGACCAGAGGGCCTAGTGGGAATTTATTTCATTTCAACGTTGCTATTAGCACGCTCGCTTTTTACCAATCGCAAAGTCAAACGCGCTCGCTGTCGAGAGCGAGTTGAGGTGAAAAAAAATCGCACACACGACACGCAAAAGAACACAGTACTTAGATCTATTTTCTTATGTTTAATTTATTTATTTATTTATACTTTATGCACAAATGTGACATATTTAGGGTACCTACATTATTACTTACAGTATAGGTACCATGCACAACTATTGAAATATGTATATATTATGTAATAGACAATTTACTTTCAATGCAATTAAATTTTTCTAGGCTTCAATTGCAAAAAGAAATAAATAAAAAAAAAAGACGAATATTTTAAAAAAACTATGACAGTTATGTTGCAGATTTTTTCAGAAACATGTACGTATTCTTAACTATCTAAAAACGTAAAATAGTTTAGGACAGTATCGGAAATCATAGAAGTAAACTTAAATGAATGACCGTGAGTATTAAGTATTAGACCCAACCCGGTGGTACATAGTTGAAAACTTGGCTTGTATTTTTGGACTGTTTCGTTTTCTATTTGTGACTATCTGGACTTAATAATAATAATATTTATAATATATATTTTTTATAATATTTATTTATTTCCACAAATAATTACAGTAGTTACATAATTTTTACATTAGCTGTATAGGTCTCAAAGGAAGGTAGTGATCCCTGACTCTTAAACTAGGCATGGCCTGTATCTTAAGAGGCAGTGTTCAAGCGAGATCTCATTTACTTGATTCTTGTAGTAATTGTTGCTATTGGTGGAAATGTTTAGACTTGGTTATTGAAGTGTGTGTGAAAGAGTATGTATGTGTGTGTGGGTGTGTGTGTATGTGTATGTTCATGTGTGTATGTGTTTGTTTCTGAGTTAGGTTATGTAGGTCAAAACAGCTTCTGTTTGTTCATAGTTTTGTTTCAGTGTGTGTGTGTTCCTGGATGTGTGGGTGTATGTATGAGGGTGTGTATAAGTGTGTGTGAATATGAGTTGCTGTGTGAGTATCAGTTTAATGTAATGTTGTCAAGAGATTTTCTGTTTCGTCGTAGTCTAAGGCTAACAGCCATTTTGTCAGTTTGTTTTTTAATTCGAAGTTTCGAAGAATTCGAGTTTGGTATTGCAAGCCTACAGTGTAATTGATTTTATTGTAAATTTTGTATATAGAGATAGGTAGCTGACGTGAACAAAAAGTGGTTCTGTGAGGAGGTATATGGCAAAGCCTATTTGAGTTTCTTTTAGATCGATCTGGCAGGGGCACTTGGGGAAGAGTGCGTATAATTGCACGTAGTACGAAAAGTTGTCTTACAGTAAGGGTTTTTGAGATTGAATATAGTTCTCTTGTCGGGAATCTAAAGTTTTTGAAGTGGATAACCTTAAGCACTGCTCTCTGCGCTCTTTCAATTTTCATAAAGTAGGTCTTGTTGGCACATCCCCATATTGGGATGCAGTAGGTTATGATGGATACACATAGAGCGGAGTATACCAAAAAAAGTGTTTCGGTGTCAGCAGAATGTCGGAGCGTTTTAAAGGTATGTATAAGGCGCCTGACTCTGGTGGTGAGCATGTCAATATGGTGGTGCCAGTTTAGATTGCAATCAATATAAATGCCTAGGTATTTTATATGGTCTGATTGGGATAAAGGCTGGCAGTTGCAGGTATTTGGTTGATTACAGTGTGAATGTACATATATTTTGTAATTTGGTGGTGGTTGCGTAGAATTTCTAATGGTAAAAGGAATAATTTGTGTTTTAGATAGATTTAGAGATAAAAGATTATGTGAAAGCCAGTTATTTATAATTATAAGGTTTTTTTCAGCAATCGTTTTGTCATGAGACCAATTTGAACCATGAACAACAATAGCTGTATCATCTGCATAAGTATAAATATTAGAGTTGGGAAGAATAATATCACACAGTTGGTTAATGTAAAGTAAAAACAGACTAGGACCGAGGATTGAACCCTGGGGAATGCCATATTCAATGCGTGCATAATTACTTTTTAGTCCATTTATTGTAATGCTTTGAAAACGGTTGTTAAGATAATCTTTGAAAATATCATACGTTATTCCTCTCACTCCGACGTTGTAAAGTTTTTGGAGGAGGCTGGGTATATGAACTGTATCAAACGCCTTTTGTATGTCTAGAAAAATTCCTAGACACTTCTGTTCCTGGTCAAATTTTTTGGAGATGTGTTCAGAGAGGTTCGCGACTGCATCTTCCGTCGAAATAAAGGATCGGAAGCCATATTGATGGTTGGAAATAATATTATTAGAGTTTAGAAAATTTTAAAGTCTGTTATTAATAATTTTTTCAAGGACCTTTGACATAGTGGGCAAAACAGATATAGGTCTGTAGTTTTCAATGGAGCTCCGGTCCCCCTTTTTGTAAATGGGATGTACTAGAGCCTTTTTGAACGCATTTGGGAACACACCTGTACGGAGAGCGATGTTACAGATATGAGTAATGATAGGGACAAGGGATCCACTATTTGATTTGAGAATTATAGGTGAAATACCGTCCCAGCCGGTAGAAGAGTCAGATCGTAGCCCTCTGATAATAGCATCGACTTCCATGTTGTCTGTGTCGAGAATCATCATGGAATTCAAAATTTCAGTGTGATTACTTTTTAGAAGGTGTATGATGTCAACTTGTGGATTAGGTTTAATTTTACTGGCCAGAACTTTACCTATTTCTACGAAGTATTTGTTGATTGAATTTAGTGCTGTTAAAGAGTCTCCAGATTTGTGCTTCTAATGCTGTTAAAGTAGATATAGATAGGTAGATATACGAAAGAGGAATATACTGATTTCTTACGGATACTGCCAATACGTATTCCGCACGAGTCATCTAACCATCTCTTTCAATCGACTTATTACGATAATTAGAAACCTGCCATTCTTTTAGACATCTGCTGTAATGCGCAGGGCAACCATCATGCTGAAACCAAATTCCGCGAATGAGATTAAGTAGTAAATCATCAAGGAAGCTAGTTATTTAGCTAAAAGTTATCGTAGTATTCTCGGGGAGAAAAAAAGATCCAATCAAATGGTTTGACCATACCCATCTACACATTCCAACTGAAGCATATTTTGCCCCTTTATCCGCGTAATATTAGGATTTGTGAGTGGTTTTGACGCACAATAATTAACGCTGTGATAATTTATTTTATCATTTTATCAAATTTGGACTCATGTGAATGAAATGTCTCAGAAATAAAATAACGGTCTTCTAAATCTGCAGAGATTCAACCTCTTCACAGTATCTCCTTCTTCAATAACTTGTACCAACAGCGTATAGTGATAAGGGTATAGGCCCGCAATATTCATAATTCATACTACACTTGTCTTTCCACTATGAGAGTCTAGTTCTAGGACAACAATATTGGTTTAAGTTGTTGGATTAATCTAAATCGTTAAAATATCTCATTGTATTCTTCAGCAGTGAAACGTGATTACCCAGATAAGATCGTCGTGAAACAGAGCCGGTCGGTCTAAGTCATCAATAGGCTCTGTTCAACACAATAACATTTTGTTATACTAATTTGTTTCTTGTTGCTCTTATAAACAAATTAAACAAGTTAAAAACAAGTTAAATAAGACTGGCAATGGACATTATAAAACAATGTATTAACTACACAAAAACGGTAAAAAAAAATGAAGGATATAAGTTTAAAAAAAATATTGTATTAGGCAAAATTTCGGCAATTTTTATAAAATCGTATAAAGTCCAATATCTTGAAAATGGTAAGTTTTGGGATATGGTATTGCATAGTAAAATAAATCAGAAATGATGGCAACTACAACCTCTTAAAGTATTTAGGTCGACTTACCTAGTAACCCTCTATTTTCGATCCTTATATCTTATTTGTATTCTTGGCTATATTTCGGGTAAATGTATGTGGATCATAATTCCTATTAACAAAAGAGACTGAATAGCCACAAGTATTACAATTTTAATTCATTTGTATTCCGAATCGACTATTTTCACCATGGCTTTGTAGACACCCCAAGTCCCCAACCCTTAACGTCAACTGTCAAAATGCAACTTTTAAATTGTTTAGTTTTACCTGTATTACATAATTCTATCTGTAATAATTTTAGTTATCTAGGTAGTTAATCTTAATTTAATTTATTTGATGTAGGATAATGCAGTTCTGTTACTCACAAGCTACTGTATTGTAAAACTTATTTAATGGATCTAGTTGTCAAATTCGTCATAATCCCTGTTTAGATAATGGAAGGATGAGAAAGATACGATTTGATGATATAATCATAAACTTACCATGTACCTACTATTTAAATTACTCATGATAAGGAGTTTAATACGTTCTTTTGTATATTATACTACGTTAATTATAGTTCTAGCAGTTCCACATTTATTTATAATTGAAAAATTGAATTACCGTTGCCGCGTATAATACTACAATATCAGTTAGCCGGCGAATGCGACTAGCGAGCAGTCGCCTTTGTGTATATAAAATCAAAACGATCTCGTGAACGACTGTGCATTTTTGTTTACGATAACATGTGAAGTAACGAACTAGTATTCGTGAATGTATAGTGACCTAGCTTGCAGTTTCAATAATTTAAACTATCAATGCACAGTCTATTTTGATAATTCATAATTATGGCCAAAAGTAAGAGATTCAAATCCCCTCAAGAACTTTGGGAGTCCTTGTCATCAAAATCTGTACACCTTGTTGAAGAAATATTTTTTAAACTTGGACTGTTGGTTGCAAAACATCCATGGAAGACAGTCACATTGACTCTATGCTTTGTATCCTTAAGTTGTATAGGAGTGTTAAAATTCCACATTGAGAAGAATCCAATGAATTTGTGGGTGCCGCCAGACTCTGACTTCTTTCAAGACACAAATTGGTATATAGATAATTTTGGTACTGGCTTTAGACTCCAGAAGGTAATTATTACTGCCAATGAAATCCTGGACCCTCAAGTGTTAGTTGCTATACAAATTTTGACTGAAAGAGTAAACTCAATAAAAGTGAATTATCAAGATAAAACATACTCAATGAGTGACTTGTGTTATAAAGTTCCTATTGTTAATTTGTTTAGTTCAGGTAGAGACAAAAGATCCTTGGACTCTTTAAATAATAAGCACACAAACATTAATAAAAATAGCAGTAATATAATTAGTGACTATTCAGACCCAACTCTTTGGGTCGATGATGAATTCTACTGTGAGTTTTTGGAAAGTTTTCAGTACACTTGCCTTCAAAACAACATTTTGGATCTGTGGAAAACTAATATGACTAATATAAAAAACTTAACAAGACATGATATAATAAAAAAAGTGCAAAATGTCAAAGAGAATCCTATTACGGGTCATCCCTTTGATTATACACAGATTCTTGGAGGCAAGGAATATGATGAGCATGGGCAATTAGTGTCAGCTAAGTCTGTTATGTTAACATGGTACACTCAGGTTAACATGACTACTATTGACCTTAATGAAGTGGGCAACTTGGTTGGCACTGAAGATTGGGTGTCTATTCCGTTGTCAATATGGGAAGGGAGTTTTCTTGAGACAATAGGTTCCATGTCCCTTAACTTAACAGGAACTCAAATATTTTATGAGGCTGGAAGAAGTTTTGCTGATATAAGTGGCAGTGTTATGGTTAAAGACTTAGACAAACTAGTTTTAGGTATTTTGTTGATGTTTTTTTATATTCAATTTGCACTCTCGCGGTTCAACTGGCTGGAAGTTAAATTGACTTTGGGTAGTGTTGGTCTATTGTGTGTTGGACTAGCATACGCTTCCACCATAGGATGGTGTTCAATTTTTGGTGTATCATTTGGACCAGTTCACTCATCTCTGCCTTTTCTTCTGATGGGCCTTGGTGTCGACGACATGTTTGTGATGAGTGCCTGTTGGGAGAATCTTCCTGAATCAGCATCACAAAAAAGTCTTCCAGTGAAAATAGGTTTAATGCTAAAACACGCTGGTGTATCTATCGTAATTACATCGTTTACTGATATTGTCGCCTTACTTATTGGTGCTATAACGATATTACCGTCATTGAAATCGTTCTGTATATACGCCGCGGTAGGTGTCTTTTTCATATTTTGCTTGTCTGTCACGTTTTATGTGGCTGCATTCACATTAGATATTAAACGAATGCAAGATAACAGGAACGGAGTTTTGTTTTGTTATAAACACAAAAGAGAAATCAAAGTAGTGACAAATAAAACTATATTTCAGCGTTGGTTAGCATTTTTTTACAAACACATCGTGTTTACTATCCCGGGTAAAATAGTGGTCATACTATTTACAGTCATCGTAACTGGCTTTAGTATTGAAGCAGTCTGTCACCTCGAGCAGAGATTTGATCCGAAATGGTTCATCCCTGATGATACATATTACCACAAATTTCTTACTGCACATGACTATTTTTATCCCGAGGAAGGCAATATGGGAATGGTATTTCTAGGTGAAATGGATTATATATATGAATTTACAAGTTTACATAACATGATGGAAAAATTAAAATCATCAGAGTATGCCAACAACTTCGTTGACTGGGCCGATTCTTTTCATAAATATGTTTTACATAATTACAATCGAGACCTGCTTAAAAATGATTCAGCGATAAAAGATTCTGAGTTTAACATCTATTTATCTAGATTTTTACACAGTCCTATAGGAGGTAGATATCAAGTGAATTTAAAATTCGAAAAACAGTTTTCGTGCGGCAAGCCTGCATCAAAAATTCAAGCATCTACAATGTCTTTTAGGTTTAAGAAATTTTTGGGGCCCAAAGAATATTTACCCGCAATGAATGGTGTAAAAAATCTTGTGAAATCTACGAATATAACGACTGGAGATGGTTATCGAAGTGTCTGGTCAAAGGTTTTTGCCACTTGGGTCACAGATGAAATCATCGCTGTAGAAGTAGAAAGGAATATAGAATTAGCGCTAGTTTGTGTAATGGTTTGCACGGTTATACTGATAACGAATCTGCAAATGTGTTTGTGGATATTTCTATGTGTTTTATTAACACTTATTAATGTGTTAGGATGCATGCAGAAGTGGGGTATGACAGTAGATATCGTTTGTTGTATAGGACTTGAACTTGCGATAGGGTTATGCGTAGACTATGCGGCTCATGTTGGTCACACCTTTTTGACTATAAAAGACGGCAGTAATTTAGACAGATCCTTTAAAACAGTCACATCAATTGGATTGGCAGTCCTAAAGGGAGGAGGCTCCACTTTATTAGCATTATCTCTCCTCAGTGCATCTAAAGCATATACTTTTCAATCATTTTTCAAAATTTTCCTTTTAGTAATTTTCTTTGGATTATTCAATGGCTTAGTGTTTCTGCCTGTTTGCCTCTCATTAATAGGTCCGAGTGCATACAGCTCAAAGGAGCCTCAGAATACAACTGAGATGGTAGCGTTAAACGAGAAGAATGATAACATAGAAAAACATTTGAACGACGGATGAAATGCATAAAAAACTTTGATTTTTTATTACATTGGAAAATCTGTAAAAGAAAAAAGCATGTCACGCTTACTCGTCATGCCGGATTGTGTTATGACAGTAATATTTTAATATTACTAAATAACTATGGAGCAACATTTAATTAGTATTGCTGTTTTGTCGTTATTAAACTAATTATTGTGATATAGAAAGCTTAAATCTTAATAGCTTAATAATATAATAGCTTAATAATATATCATTCGATGCGCACAACGGAAAACAGAACTGAATAACGTTTAAGTGAATGTTAGCATTAATAAGACTATCACAGAAAAGTAAATAATTAAAAAATGCAAAGGTATCGATAAGCACTCTTAAGGGGCTGTTCCGTCTTCATCCCTCTAAATCTCATCCATATCTTAATGGGATGAATGTGTAATAAAAACTCGGATCAGTTAAGAAAATAAAGTAGTGGGATGAAGACTGAACAACTCAATCTAAGGCAGTGTAGTTGTTTTTTTCTATATATAGCCGAAAACAAAATATGAAAAAGTAAATCTCAATTTTCCGAAAATACTATTTGCGTTATACATTCCCTTCATTTTGACATTTATCAAATACATAAAATAAAAAAGACGCGTATTTGACAACTGAATAGGTATTTTGTAGATAAGTATACTTTAGGGCAAGCGAACCCGTACCTACAACAACAACAAACACTTTAAATTTACTAATCTCAAGGAAACATGACAATTTGTTATTACAGTTTGCCATTGGGCTGCTGTTTCTTGCAACATATAAATGTGTAAGATAGGTATATAAAAGATAAGATTGAATAATGTCCATTAAGTTAAGAATGAATATTTAATAATGAGTTAAGACCAACTGGCATAGAGCACGATACCGTTGACCTTTAGATACCCTCCACACTCACTCCACGCTCCACATAAATATAACGCGTGGAATTAAAAGTGACATTTATTTTACGCTGATAATACATTCCATTTTCTATTTTGATTTCAATTATGCATCTCATATGACTCACATGGACATATGTATATGTATGTTAAACAAAGGCTCAAAGAACGTGTCTTCCAAATATTATCTGAGACACTTTATTTTTTATTTTTAACACAATGTCAAGTATAACATTTATAAATACTATAAATTATTTTAATTAACAAAACACTACTAGTTCTAGTCACCTTTAGGTAGGTACTATATTTATTTATTTAAAACTTAATGCATATGATGCGGTAGTTGCAAAATAAAATATTAAATATGACACAATAAATACACAAGTATACACAATATATAAACACACATACATGCATAAACATACATAAATATAATATAAAAATACTCAGTCGGGTACTAGCGTTATGACTGTTCTGCCAATTCACTCCGAAGAAGATTGCACAACACTTTTGTCTTGAATGCAAGGCGGTTTGTTGATATCCTGACTTCGGCAATAAGCGCATTCCAAAGAAGAACTGATTAGACGTAGTAGGAGGAGTTGATGAAGTTGGAGGTGTGAGGGGGGCATAGCAGAAGCATATTGTTTGTTGACCGAAGATTTCGGTCGTGATTGGAGCATAAGAAACGGAAGTGGGGTATGAGGTATTCAGGTAACGATGGAGAGTTGGACAGAAAAAAGAGAGGTCAGTGCTCGCGAACTGGGGCGCTGCCGAATTAGGAGGCATTGCAACTGAGAACGTAAAGCAGACACGTGGACATACTTGCGAACTTTGAAAACGAATCGAATGCAGTCAATGAGAAGGCGATCTAATATATTGAGAAGGTCTGCATTCAGGTCGAAATAACACACATCACCATAGTTAATTAATCGAATAATTAAGGAGTGCATAAGCGTAGACTTCGTTTTAGTTCTTCAGACAATATAAAGCGCGTAGACATGTGGTGACTTTCTGGCTGACGTGTGTAACGTGTGCATGCCAGTCAAGTGTCGAGTCGATATATAACCCCAGGTTCTTTACCACTGCACTCAAAGGTATAATCACGTTGTTGTAGACAACTGGTGGGATAATTGCCGTATTCAACTTAACATTTATTTGCTGCCCACGTCGACGATCACTTGACATTTGGTTGGATATACCGACAAACCAAGCCTCGTTGACCAGCTCTTTATAAAGTCCAAGTCTTTGTTGACTTTATCCATGGCGTATGATATGTCCTCAACCCTTGACACTACACTTGTAATTCATCAGCGTACAGGTGATACGTACACAGAAGATGTTGGATTATGAGATTAATGAATATTGAGAATAACAAGTCTCTATATTCGTATGATTGTCACCAAACTATCGTTATACATTATGTTTTTGTATTAAATCTTCAATATTACATGTATAATTCAATATTACATGAGTTTTTCTCCACCATTGATGTAGCATCCATTCCTTGCTAAGATTTGCTTAATAAGAGTTACAATAGCGTTCTGTGCACAGACTAACTTAAAAATATATATAATATGTCTAACATCGAATGTAGAGATTATATATATATTTTTTAAACGTATAATAACTGATCAGTATAGTGGTCTAAATAAGTTTCCCATCATTCTAAATGTAGATTACGGTATAGAGCCTTTGAATTAATGTACATATTCATTTTATATTCTCTTCACTCTTTTGTAATGTCTAAGCGAATTTTATTGTTTACTTTACTCGATTTCTAAATTACTTAAATCTGTTTAACATCATGAAATCGGTTGTTAAAGTTAACGTTTGATGACTCATGTACATACGTATAATATTTATACGATAAGTTTTACTGACTGTTTTAATACGCGTAATACTCAGTTTGCTCTACCATTAATTCTGGTTCATTTGGTCCAGTTAACTCGTTCACGTTTAGTTAGTAGATATGTAATATAGATACTCGTGATTTGTTGATGTAGTGCTTATAATGTGCTAAACTTAAATTAAGTAGAGTCATTGTGATGATGATTTTTGATTCGTTTGTTTACCCATTTTTAGTCAAACAGAGCTGTCAAATTTTCTTTGATCTATCAAGTAACCTATACCTATGAATAGGCTTTAATACATTCAACATTTTCTTGTTCTTTAGTCTTTAAAGAATAACGCACTAAGGTAGTGGTAGTAGGTGGTAGATACCTATTAAACAAGTTCATTGCAACCTTGTGACTAACTAGTCGATGATAAGCTTATGAGTTATATAATATGTTAGATTCATACAGATTTTCATTGTATTATTTATTTATATACCTAACCTTAGAATAATAACGTATTTATATACTATTTATTATTCTAAGTATCTAATTATATGTGTTAAGTACTCATTTAAGCATACTGAAATTATATTAAATTGATTGTTTCAGAAATGTTATTAATGTAAATGTACTTAGAATACAATGTATTACCGAATAGATTTGTAATATTTGTTATTTATGGGTTTATTCTATACAAATAAAAAACAGGTTACGTTTATACTGCTTTGTTTTCCTTTTAACATTATTTATTTTATTACTCAGAGTAGGTGACATTTATTCTGACGAAACTTCGTAGCGTGTTCCACATCAATGTAAGTAAGTAATTATCTGTGAAAAGTCTGAGTGTTCAAAAATAACAAATGAAAAGTGAACAGTAATGAAAAGGTTATAGAGAACAAGGCGTAAGAGGTTTGTCGGTGTAAAAATGTACGTCAGTGTCACAGGATGCCCATGATGTGGTCCGATTAACTAATCACTAGCTTAACTGAGAAATTGCTCTTTGATCTGACGACCGTACAACTTCCGCGAGTCACGTTGTTTCTGGGCTGGTTTGCATGACGATAATCTTATATAACGAGTTCAAAACAAATGAATGAAATGCAAATGAATGATTTTTTATTTTAATGTTAAACGCAACTTTAAAGTTAAACATAAACGACTTCTTGCTGAAATATTAATAATAATTTTAAATGCGAGTTCGTTGGTCTTAAATACTCAGCAGAGCATCACGAAACTTTGCACACATAATAATCAGATCCAAAATAAAATAAATCTAATGCGAAGTATTTTCATTCTATTTATTACTGTTCTATACATTTAATACTGTTCTACTTACGATGACTGTAATGATCATTCTACACACACATATAGGCGCATATTTCAGAAGAAACGGCGGGACAGATTTGGCTATTTAGTGATAAATAATATTGCGAAAACAGATTTTTAGAGACAAAACACTGGATAAGTTGTGTGGGGAATTTACTTGACTTACTTTGATTTAGAGATTTCCACCATGCCGTTAATATGCAAGAAATCTCTACGCCTGGTAGATTTAAGTAAACTTTTTGTTATAATGGGCTTAGTAATAACTTCTGAGCCACGACAGCGGTGTTTAGTGGTGTTTGTTAATTTTTATCTGTGATTCGTTTTACAAAAAGTTCAGCTGCTTCATTTATATCGCACATCATATATGTAGAGCCAGCCCGAAAGGAAAATACTTTTCATATTGCTAAGAAAAATTGATGTATTTTATTTGTTTTATTAATGGTGTGAATTAAATTTTTGCGTTGAATGACAACTAGTTTTATTATCGATTAGTATTTCAAATTATTTATAATTCACAAAACCATACGTATCTGTAAATGAGATTAATAATTATCAGTGTTTATTTCGATATGGCTTCTGGCGTTGAGTTTGTGTAAACTTCTTAATATCAATTTTAATATACATATTTTTATCTTCTAAGTAACTTGTTAGGTTGGATTTTGGTATGTTAATGACAGGCACTTAATAAATAAAATTGATATAAATTTTTGACCGACCGGTTTTTGGTGATTAGGGCTGACATCGTACGGGGCAGGACAGCGATTATGAGTGAGCAGTTAGTATTAGTTGAAATGAAATGAAATGATGTAGTGATATTTATTTCTGCAAGTAAATCTAGTCAGATATTTTTACAAGTCGGACTTTACAGCTTGGAGGCGGGGGCATTTCCTAAGACTCGCTCTGGGAAGAAATGCCGAAACAAACCACGGAGGTGTCTTTTTTTTAA